GAGCATCTTACAGCAGGGCAGGGGTTGGGAGCACCAGAAACTCTTTTTGGGGCAGAAAACACCCCGAATATCAGAGATATTTGTTGTCAACGCTTCCAGCAGCCTCAGGGTTAAAAAGCATTGTGGGGAGCACTGGTGGGGTTTCAGCAGCAGCTTGAGGCAGAGGAAATGAGGGTTCATCCCAAAGCCACCCCACTCAGAGCAGGGTTACCCAACTTCCACCCTGGGGGCCCTGCTGCAGCCAGGGCAGGGCTCTCCCTCAGCCCCAGCACCTCCCACTCGAGCCAAAACCACTCCAAACCTGCAAAATTCCTCATGCCTGTCCTCTGCTGGCAGCCACAGGCTGGGAGCAGCCCAGAGACCCCAGGCTGGGTCACCTCTGGTGCACTGAGCATGCAGAAGGGACCAGGAGTTCACTTGGGGGGCGAACACAGCACTGCTGAGCTCCTGCAGCATTCCCGGAACACTTCCATGGGAATGCTGCCCCATGGCTGGGCTGCACAGGGCCAGGAGGAAGCACAGAGTCCAGCCACTAATATTTGCATTTTTTCTCTGCTCTTGCATCTCAAGGAGGAAGTCACAGGAGCCCAAAGTGAGCTGTCTCCAGCAGTATTTGTAATTTTTAATTTTTTTGGTGTTTTACTATTCCCACCAGTCAAGCCCCTCTTACAATGAAGATATTAATAACTAATTAATGAATTAATCCCTGTGCCACACAGTTCCCAGGCTGCTCAGGGTGTCTCATTCCTCACAAGCTCCGGCTGGAAAATCCCCCTTGGGATGGGGCAGGGGCACAGCTGCACCCACAGCAGGGGATGTTTGTGGGGTAAACCCCAGGGACCCCAGGCTGGGCCACAGCCAGGAGGGGCTGCCACAGTTTGCAATATGTGGTGGGCACAGAGCACGTTTGGGGGGCACAGAGCACTTTTGGGGGGCACTGAACATGTTTTCTCCCAGCCCTTCCTTCAAATGGGATTTTTCGTGGTGTTTTTGCCCATCTGGGGCCCTCTCCCCTGCCCTCCACACCCTGGCAGTGCCCACCCCAGGCTGGCACGGCAGAGAATCCACCTTGCAAGTGGTGCCACACCTTGAACCTTGGCATTTGGCTTCTGGCCACACCCAGGCATCCACTGCCATACTTTGCTTTCTTTCCCCCCTTTCCCCATTTAATTCCTGGAACGTTCTTCACCTGCCCTGTGCAGATGATGCTCAGATCTGCTGGATTCCTCCTCCTCCTCCCCTCTCCCACCAGCCCAGAGCAGCAGCCAAAGCTCCACGTCGAGCCATAACCAATGGCAAATTCCTTGAGTGCAACGTAATGTGCTGGGAAGCGCTTCCCCATCTCGCTTGGGAAAAGCGATCCTCTGGCAGCAGGGAGGAGGAAAACATGCTTTGTTTTACAAATCCTCTCCCCAGCAGGAGAGACACTCCCAGAATTTAATATACTGCCAGCGCCTGGCTGCCTTAACCACCGAAACTCAAGAGTATGGGGGAGAAAATAAAAGAGTAAAAATAAAAAAGTGCCACGCTCTGTAACATTCAAACCTATCCTGCTCTGCAACTGGTGGTACTGGGAATAGTGGAGCTGGGATTCTCCCAGCTGGATGGAGTGAGGGTCTGAGAATGGATTCCCATCTCCCAAGTGCTGGACACCTTGAATAAATTCATTTTCTAGCCCCTCCCTGCAGCAGCTCCTTGTTGGAAAACAGAGAAGATGCTGCCAGGTAAACCTGGGAAGTCACATCATGCCAGGTAAATTCCAATATTCCATGCAGGAATTACTTCCACGGAAGACCAGCAGCTCCCTCCAGGTGACTAGCAAGCCTTTGGCAACCCCAAGCACGAGCCTAAATAAAATGTTAATTATTTCAGTGTCTTTCCACTGGATTTATGCCAAAGGCATCCTCCCTGCAGCACCGTGAGGGAAAACACCTCAGCCAAGGAGAGCAGCAGGCACTTGTTGGGATTTGGGGGATTTGAATTTTGCAGTGTGGGGTTTGGGCTCCAGAACAGAAAGAAGGAAAAAGAAATGAGTGTTCTACATCTCAGGAGCTCAATTTTACATTAGCCTGGCTGTGCCAGAGGAGCACAAACCCTTTGGAATGGCTGCTGGCAGCAGGAATAACAGGAGTGTTATTTTGGGGGCAGGCAGTGGGATCAAGTTGCCTCCACAGCAGAGACCACTGCTGACCTCTCTGAGGAAGCAAAGTCTGTTTGCTCTCCACTCTTTTTATATTTTTAAACAAGCAAAAAAAAAAAAATCAGTTTGTATCTCAGTATTTTATAGTTGTTTGCAACCTCCAGGCATTCCCAGAAACACAAATTAATCCTTAGAGGAGCCTGTAAGGAAAGCAGCTTCGCTCCCACCTCAGGGGAGGGAGAAGGATGGACAAATTCTAAATAAATTCTAAATAAAGGGGTGGAATGCAAAGGCCACAGTGGACATTGGTGCCAGTGGTGAGACTGGAAGGGCAGGACCTGCTCCAGCAGGTTTAAAATACAGGATTGCAGCCCTGCCCAAACACACTTTCTGTTGGAGCAAAAAAAGCCCCCCAAACCTTGTCTTGCAGTGGGTGGGTAGGACAGGGTGTTATGGCACCTTGATCTAAAAGACAAAGATTTTGTGCTCTGGCCATGTGCTCATCCTGCTCCAAAAAAATAAAATTGTGGAGCCCCTCCAAAGGCAGGGATGCTGTCACCCACCCCTCAGCAGCACGCTGGGCTGGCTTCAAAGCCTGCTGAAGTCTGTGGAAAGGCTCCAGTGACCTAAATGCCTGGGATTTAAAAAAATCTCTGCTGAGAGCTGGGCACCAGGTCACTGGGTTTGCTGGGAAAACCCCAGTTTTGCTGGAAAATGCCCAGTTTTACAGCAGCACCTACATGGAGCACAGTTCCTCTGCAGGGGACACCCTAAAAATGGCTCAGGGAAAAGTCTCTGCCCCACCAGGCTCATCCATCCACCCCCTCCTACAGTGGGAAGCTCGTCCTTCTCCCCAAATCCTCACTTTCAGGCTGAGACACTCCAAGAGCTCAGCTCTGGAAGGCTCCTGCTGGAGTGGGAACAACCCAAGTGGTCCCTTGGAGCCACCAGTGCCCTCCTAAAACATCCCCTCCCAAAATCCAGCTGCTGGAAAACCCCAGAACAGACAGGAATTGTTCAGTGGGGCATCCCACATTCCCTCCCTGGAGGCAGGGATTAATATCAGCTCATTAAAAACCTGCTTGGAGTCTATTACAGTATCTAGGACAACGAGTTCTCTATTTTGACACTCTATGATATATTTTATCAGAGCAAGCTCTTCAGAGACACTCACTGCCAGAAATGCACCTGACTGTAACAGGTTCCTTGCCTCCCCCAGCAGTTTAAGATTAATTTTTAGCTTTTTCTTCCCAATCTCCAGCCAGATGAGGGGGTTCCCCCGTGGTCAGGTTTGTCATTGGGGCATCCACGGTGACACATCCCAGCTCCCTGACTCTGCACAGAGAGTGAGGACAGACCTGAGCATCGCTGAGAAAAACCAGCCTGGAGCCAGGGAGAACGTGAGAGTGATTCCTGGCACTTTGCAGGCCCCAAGATTTATTTTTTGGGGAGGTGTTTGAGATAAACACCCTCTAAAATTAGCACCTGCCCTTCTGCCAGCTCCAATGGGCTGTGACAACGATAAAGGTTTGGCGTGGCTGAGAGGGTGCAACATTTGGGCTCTGATCTGCTGCCCAACTCAACCCCCCCACGGTCCCACAGATCCCAAATGGAGAGGTCACTGTCCCAAGGAATTCCACCCCCAACACCCAAAGAGGCAGCTCACTCATCTCAGAAAAAGCATTTTATCCCAAAGTGGAAAGTGGGGAGAGTTTTCTATAAAAAAACATAAATCATATAAAACCGTTCGGATTTCTCAGCTGGGTTGCTCTAAAGATAACCCCAAACCTGCAGGGCAGAGGGAGAAATGGAAGTGGGCTGAATGGGGACGTGCCCCAGACAACACTGGAAAGTTACCTGGACAAGAAAATGGGGGGGAAACACCAACCAAAAAAAAAACCCCACAAACCGCTAGCAGCAAACCCCAAACACAAAATCCCAAAAGAAAACCGGACCGGAGCAGTGCCATGGACAGACTATAGGGCAAGAGAGCCGCTCCCCATGCCCAGCAGAGACCTGAACAACTTTTCCCCGGCCGGCAGAACTGGTTACACCGAACAGCCGAGGGAGAAAACCCGAGCTGGAAGATGGATCTGCTTTAGGTTTGCATGGAAAACTCGCTGCTCCTCAAAGCCCTGCGCACCCCCAGAGCCTTGAAAACGCCCAGAGCACTCGGGTCTTTTTATCAGCACCTATCAGCAGAAAAGATTAAATGCTAATTTGCTTTTCTGTTTGCTCACAGCAACTTTCCGTTCTGTTGTTTCCCAGCTAATGCCCAGCTCGAACAGATTTTTCAAGGCAAAAGGTCTCGGGCTCCCTACGATTAATTCCCCACTGCCCCAGAGCGTCTCGTTTCTCCCAGCCCCAGTCGACACCAGCAAAACTCCACCAGGCGATTGTGCGCCAAAAAGATAAAAAAGCAACGCTGCCAGCTCTGGGTATTTCTGAGCCAGCAAGAAAAGAGCTGATTCTCAAAAGCTGCCAACTCCAATCGCCTCGGCGCTTTTACGGAGCTGCTTGAAACACCAAACTTTTGGAAAGTTGAGTGGGAACCACTTGGAGTAGGCTGCAAACCCCAGAGCCACCAGCGCCAGCAAGGAAGGGAAAGGGGAAAAATACACCCGGCAGCGTTTGCTCGCTGCAGACAACACAAAGCACATCCCTGGGGGTATTTCCCCCTCTGTGACACCCTCACCACCCTGCAGCTCCTCAGCCACTTCCCCAAAATTGCGCCACGCGAGTCAAGAGCCGCAAAAGCGGAGCGTGGCCCCTGTTTGCCACCAAAAGCAGCACGAGTCGCTCTTCAGCTGCCTTTTCCCCGGCGCAGCCCCTTCCCCCGGAGAAAGCCGCCCATCCTCACCTGCCGCAGGTTCTTCAGCAGCTCGGTGGCCTCCTCCTGCTTGCCCTGCTTGACCAGCAGCAGCATGTCCTGGATCATGCAGATCCGCCGGTGGTACGGGGGCAAGCCGGGGCCAGCGCCCTTCCCGAACTTCTCGCCGGACTTGGCCACGAGGGAAGCCAGGAAATCCCCCCTTTCCCTGGGGGACACCTTCTTGCGGTGGTGGCCCGGGGGGCTCTCCCCGGCGCTGCCCGGCTGGCAGCCCTTGGTCTGCTTCGTGCCCATGGCCAGCGGCTCCCGCAGCCCGGGGGCCGCATGCAAGGGGGTGGCGAGGCTGGGGGGGCACAGAGGGTCGGGGGGATGCACAGAAGGTTCCGAGGATGCCCGGGGAGGCTCGGGGATGCGGAGGGGCTCAGCACAGGGCTCGCTGCCGGGCGGCGGGGCGGCTCCGCTCCTGCAGGCGGAGGATGGGGCGGCTGCGCCCGGCCGGGAGGAGCCGCGGCTCGGCCCCTCCGCTCCGCTCCATCGCCGGGAGAGGCAGAACCGCCGGCTCCGGGCGGCTCCGGGCGGCTCCGGGCGCTGCCTCGGCCAAGCGGCGGCGGCTCCTCCGCGCAGCCTCCTCCCGGTGCCCGGGGGTCCCCCGGGGGTCCCCCGGGGCCGAGGGGCGGTGGCCGCGGTTTGGGGGCAACTGTTGCGCTCTGGGGGCTCCCCCCGAGGCGGCGCGGCTCGGCTCGGCTCGGCCCGGCCGGCTCGGGGCGCTGGGAGCGGGGAAGAGCCGGGGGAGGGCCGGGGGCGGGCACCGTGCACCGAGGCAGGGCTTGCGGAGGAAGCCGCAGCCGGACGGGGCTCGTCCTTCCTTCCCGGGGTTTGGGGGATGCTCCGGGCGGGGCAGCGCGGAGGGGCCGGACTGCGGCAGTGCCCCCGAGGCAGCCGGGGGCATCCCCGCCGGGGTTCCCGGGAGGGATTCCCGCCGGGGCCACATCACCCAGGGGATCCGATGGCGTTCGGTCCCTCAGGGATGTGCCCAAGGAGCGGGAGGTCCCCCCTGCCTGTCCCCTGCGGGTGATGCTGGTGCTCCGTCCTGCCACACCGAGCCTGGCTGCTGCTGCACCTGCTGCCCATCTGGAAATCACCACCTGTGCCCCCTGCCCATCCCCATCCAGCGCTTCCACCCCTCCCTTGCACGGGCTGCTCCTTCCAGCCGCTCCCCAGCTGATATTCCATCATTCCTGGTGTTCCATCACTCCTCCTGTTCCATCACTCCTGGTGTTCCCTCACCCCTGGTGTTCTCTCACTCCTGGTGTTCCCTCACTCCTGGTGCTCCCTCACTCCTGATCTCTCAGGAACTCCCCAGTCTGGGCTCAGGGCACAGATTGAAGCTTCCAGACAAAGCTCCTGGTGAGCAACTCCTCCAGCCAGGCTCTGCTCACCTGCTGCAGGACACGGATTGCTCCAGAAGGGCCTGGGAGGGATCAGCTTTGGGGTGATGAGGCCCCAGCAGTGGCCTCAGACCCTGTCCTGATGTGAGGGGATGTTTTCCAACACAGAAACGCTGTGCAACTGTTTTTAAAATAATCCCAAAGCAATGAGGGGATGTTTTCCAACACAGAAAACGCTTTGGAACTGTTTTAAAAAAGAATCCCACATGAGAAGTTTTTGCCTCTCTGCTCCCCGTGCAATGGCACATCCAGGAACACACAAATTCCACGTTACTGCGGTGGATAAAAGGCAGCTCTCCCCACCACCAAAGAGCTGGAGGCCCCTGCAATTGTTTCTCAAACTCGACTCATTCTGATCCACAGACCACGAGAACAGCACAGAGCCCCAGTGACTTCATCAGGGTTTGGCTCTCCTCTGCAGGGCTGTGCTGCACATGAGCCAAACCACCACCAGAACCGGGTGTCTTCCCCCAAAAACACAGCCCAGGGGCCAAAAACTCCATCTCACGCTTCAGCCATAGCGAGTCAAGATGAGGAAACAGGGTGATACCTCAGGTTTTAGCTTTTCTATTTTTCAGATTCTGCGCTGCTTTAGTGTGTGGGTCTGAGCTTCATATTAGGTGTTAGCAAGTTCCCTGCACAGGGTAGGCAGATAAAATAACCCTTTTCCAGCTTGACCAAGGACAACTGTTCCAAGCTCCAGGCCCAAAAAGTATAAACAATAGTTGTTGTGGGCCTTGGGTCTTCAAAGAGACAGGAGCAGTTGTTGGTTGCAGTAAAGTTGTTTATTGCGTGGATACATCAGTTCAGAGTAATTATTAAAGTCTGTGCTAAAAGCTTTCTGGCATAGAGTCCTGATGTTTTGAGCAGAAGCAGCAAAAGCGGCAGCCACTCTTGTTTTTTCCCTTCATCATTATCATCTGCACCCCATTACAGGGGTGTTTTATTAATAAATCATCCAATCAGCTAAAAACACGATTCTAAAACATTCTTTCTACACCAATATGAACTTAATTCTAATGTACGGAAAGCAGGGTCAGTTCTCGCACAAAATCTCACACAAAATGTAAAATTATCTATTTCTGTAAATGGTACCATCTGTTTTCTTACCTAAAATCTGCATATATAGTTTTATCTATTTACACAAATAGTTCTATCTATTCTATCTAGAAACCCAAGCGATGTTCTGCTATGTTTTTGTTATGTCTGGAGCTAAGTTAAACTGGGCTTTAGGGCCTTTTACTGGCTAACACAGTCTCTTAAGGCACTTAAGATACATTTCTATTTACTTAAAACTAAAACTTGCACTTCTACTTCATGTCTGTGAGGCTTAATGTATTTCAGCTTCTCTAGAGGTTCTAATTCAAACCCTGCATTCTTTTCTCTCTCTGAGGGACTCGGGCTTCTGTTTCATGCATTCCAACAAATGGTGGCTCGAAGAGAGAAAAGCAGGATGGGACTGTCTGGGCTAAAGCTGTAATTAGGTAATTAACTCCAATATGCAAATGAACCAGAACTTATAAAAGTGAGAGACCCCGTGAGCTGTTGTGCATTTTGGGACCATTTTGGTTCATTTGGGTGCAGCCCTGGCTGGGCTCTGGTGCTGCCCAAGGTGGATCCATGGAGGAGATCCTTTAATAAATCCCTGCCTTCCCAAGGCATCACAGGTTTGCAGAACCCTCAGTGTGAGCTCAGCAGAGGCCTCAGCTGGCAGTAAATGTCCCCGGGAAGGCCGGGAGAGGCAGCCAAAGTCAACAGCAGGCAGTGGCAGGGGTGGTGGCACCCTCCAGCAGCATTTCTCTGCGGGCACACTGCAGCTGCCCCTCCCTTTGGACAGGGCACTCCTCTCTGCTGGCAGCAGGGATCTGAGCCAGGAGGGCAAAAAAGGGACCCTGCAAGGCTCTGTGTCCCAAAACCCAACTGATGGAGCTTCATTTCAGACCTGGAGCCTGACACTGTGCCCCAAAATCCTTGTGGGGCTACAGCCGCAGTCCTGCTGATACAGGGCTGGCAGGGAAGGTGCTCCCAGCCCTAAAACCCTCTGCCTGACCCCAGGGTTCATCCCAGAGCCTGTTCTTTCCTCTCAGCTGTAAGTCTGTGGTACAGCAAGAAGCCAGCAAGGTCAGTTCACCTCTCCAACAAAAAAGTTCAAGGATGGAGAAGCAGCAGAAAGGGAGAGCCCAGGCAGGGCTGAGGTTCCCTGCTCCCCTCGCTCCCCCAGAGGGACACGGCCATAAAAACAGAGCATCCCGTCCAGGATGGAGGGAGAAGTGCCCTCAGGTCCTGAGGCACGTGGAGAACCAAGTCCAGCTCACCTCTGACTTTCCACCACTTTAAAAAAGGTGTTTGTGCATTTTCAACCACTTCCAAACTGGCTGTTGATGCAGCGCTGTCAGCACCAGGAGCCTCTCCAGCCCCATCCAGCCCTTGTGGGGCACCCCCATCCCCATCCCCTCGGGATCCCAGTGGAATGGGGCACCCTGAAGGCACAAACCTCCTCCCCTCCCCGAGGAGGGGCAGGCTCCTGGCCAAGGAGGGGGTTCTGCATGGCAACCACGGCCCTGAGTCAACAAACAGAGCCCAACCTTTGCCCTCCTGACACTTCTGCCAGCAAGGCAGGGAGTTCACCCTGCTCCTGATCATTTATGGCACACAGCACAAAGCCAGGGGGGAAAAAATGGGGAAAAAAAAAGGCAGCAGTGTGGGGTGTGAGCTCGTTAGCAGGGCAGAGCAAACACCCCCAGGAGGAGCTGGATTTCTGTCCCTGAGGGATGCAGAGGCACCAGGAGCATCCAGGGCAGCAGGAGGGTGAGCCCCAGGCTCACACTGCTGGTGGGAGATGTGCAGATCCCTCAGGATCTCCATCCCAAAGTGTTATTCCCTCCTGCACCTTCCAAGGGTCTCCTGAGGCACAGACCCAAACCTCCCTGCACACACACAGGATTTTCCAGATGTGCTCCAAGCCATGCAGTGCTGGGAAATCCTCCTGTGCTGGCAGCCAGGGCTGTCCCACTGTGTCCCTGAGCACTGAAATATTCTGCTAAACTCATCACCAGAGCCACAGCCCGGGGGCATTTCCCCCCCAAGTGCAGATGTGTGCAAACTGCAAATTAAGGGCTGTTTGCATAAGGGGGTTTCTTGTTTTTTAGTCACTCCTGTCATGCTTTTTATGATACCTGATATTTTGTTAGAGAAATCCTTAAAGGGAAACAGCTTCAGCTCGTGAGATCACAAAACCAAACAGCTTCTCCTCTGCCACAAAATTCAGATTTAAGAACATCCTCACCTCCACATCAAAAAGAAATTAAAGTTTTTGGTGCATTTGCAGGAGCCAGGGAACATCCCTAATAACCTGATGGAATTCTGACAGCAAATCCCTGAAAACAGAGAGGTTTGCCTCAGTCCCAGGTGGGGGTACCCACCAAACCTCTTGGCACACCTGTAATAAATATTACAGGTTTTTTTTTCAGATCAAACTCATTCCCACTTCCAGGAAGGACTGATTGGTTTTGCTGGAAGGTCCCACCTGGGGTGTCAAATCCTGCAGCTCACCCAGATACTCACAGGAGAATTAATTTCCTTTTCCTAAGATGGAAAACACCTTCCTGATCCCAGGTTTTGCCCAGGAGTCCCATCCTGAACTGGAAAATCCACTTTAGATGAGTATGATCCAGTATGGGATATTCCAAAAATGCTCTACCCTTGAGCCCTCTCTAAGTGGGAATTTTATGAGTTCCCACCATCAATTCTGGGTTTGGGAGCTCTCACACTGCACCTGAGACACCCAAGCACAAACTCCCCTGGAATTCAGGGATTCTTCCTCACCTGACAGGTGTTTGGGGGAAGTTTATGGCAGCTTCTCACCAAACCCTCCTGCTTTGAAGGGCAGCCCGGGAATTCCCAATTTCTGTTGATTGGGGTGGAATAATTTGGGTTAATTTAAACTATCAGTATCAGAGCCATGCTGGTGTTGCTCGCTGTGTGACAAATACTAAGGGAAATACTACTTTCAGTATGGCATTTAAAGGAATCCCAGAGTTAATGTGGTTTTT